GGTACTCATCTGGAATTTCTTCCTTCTTATAAACCTTGCAATGTCCAAATTCAGTTTCCGCCTTTTTCACTTTTTCGTACAATACATCCACACTCTTCCCTAATGTAAGCAATAAATTTATCGACATTCATTTATATTGCATTTCACTGAAAATTAAATGCAAATACCCTTTGGCAGAGGCCATATACCCAATGTAGCAGGGGAACCGTCCACTCCACTCATATACTCTTCAGGAGGTAAGTACTTATGGATAGGTACAACTACACTGATATTGACCGTTGTCATTCCATGGTCACTAGTGACGATAATATTTGGTTTTTCAGGAAGGTTCTTAGATTCATTAATTCTTTCTATTAAATATGCCAGACCTTCATTGCATTGCTCAATCGCACTAAGCACTTTTTCAGAATCCGGACCACTGTTGTGACCTGAAGAGTCGGGTTCGTTGAAGTAAATGAGAACACAATTAACATCTGGTTTTGTTATCCAATCCATTGCGCGGTCAACACGGAATCTAAGACTTGGAACGGCGCTATAGAGACCATAATCCACATATGCCATTTTGTCGTTTATTCGTGAATAGCTGCCTGGCCAGTACATTATACCACATTTTCCTCCATGTCTTTGGATAGAAAGCCATAATGGTTCATTATTATTATATTCAAACCAATTAGAATCAAGTTGATTTTTCACGTTTTTATAGCTATAACTGTCCTTTATTGTCGGATCATAAAATGTATTGCCAACCAAACCGTGATTTTCTGCATTACGACCAGTGACGATAGCAAAATGTGATGGAAATGTGAGAGATGGCATTATGCTATGAACTTGCATTCCCCTGAAGCCTTCCCTTTCCAGATATTCGAAGGCAGATACATTTTTATTCTGTGCTTTAGCCTTTTCAATGTAATCATGACGAAATCCATCAAAGGAAAAAAGAATAATCTTGGATCCGAGGCATATGCCAAAGAAGAGGACCACCAAAGCTGAGATAAAACGCATTTGTACAGAGGAATGAAGCAATTCAGTGAAAACATTCCTTTTAAAAAGTCTAGGCTTTTTGTCCTTCACATAACCCAATCGTAAAAAACGTAATATTCTTCGTGCAAGTCATAATGGTAGAAATAAACAATATTCAGAAAGACGTAAAATAGATAACATATTAAAGTGAATATGGGACTTGTTTTATATATTTAAGTTCACGTTTTATAAGAACCCATATTTATTTTTTGCAAATGAAAGGTAGCGATTTAGAAATAAATTTATGAGTGGGTAATACTTTCCTTAGTACTTTGCCTTCTTGGTTATATGTACATATGTCGTTTCTCCTCAAGCAGATACAAATATCTCTACCTAAGAGAAGCAAAAGGTGTAATATGAATTTTTCCTTTATGTGTATCTATTTATTTTCGGTATTTCAAATGCATCTAAACGAATATATTCTCATGCAATTTTAATGCGAAAATATATTGTTAAAATAACCAATATAAACGTATTGTAAAGTTATTGTTGTTTATAGTCTTAAACAGTACTATCGCTTATTATTTAAAGTAGGAATAAGACTTGATAGATAATGAAGTGAGTCACTAATGAAATTGCTTAAATAATAGGAGTTAAATCAACTCTATGGTGCGAAACCATTAATTGCGAATCTGATAGGATTCTTCTGTGTGTCTGGCCATTCTTTCTCGAAATGGAATCGGATGCATTCCCACGTCTTCTCGTATGTGCAAGAACCATGTTTCACTTAGTTAAAATACACTCAATAACATATTCAGCAAATCTTTACACATTACATTGCTTATGCACGTTACTTTATATTTTTACTGAAGATCGACACCCAGGGTTCATCGATTGTCATGTCATAAACTCGGCAAAAACTAAATTGCTTTTAAATGCTTGATTGTCACTAACACTACATTGTAGTCTAATTGCTTTTAACAAAAGCGACAATGAAGTCGGCGCATAATAAATCGATAAAAGTAAACAAATAAAGATGAAAAGGGACCCTTACATATACTGATCTTATAATAGAAGCCCCATTACCAAATTTACCACTTTGGCAGTAGTTTTAGTGAACAATATAAGCACTTAATGCGTGCTGCCAGGTGTTGGTGATGAAATTTCTCCTCTTGCTTTGTGACATAAATGAATGCTTATATGAAACAATTACTTTCATTTTTTCTACAGCATATTTCAGCTAAATCTCTTCATAAATAATTTGTCATCTTCTAATAAGAATAGCACTCAACGGTACTTACCTGGTCTTTGTTTACTGGGGAACTTAAAGATAGACAACCAACACCAGTTACAGAATGCTATTTTCGAGATCATTCAGGTCTAAATGAAATGGATTTAGGTTATCAAGCAACTTTTTCAAAAGTCAACTCTTGATTCAAGCGCTCTCGTCAAACTTTAAAGGACATTTCAGCTAGAAGTTATGCGCTTAAATCGAATTTGTTACCTCCTGGATATTTTACATGAAGGACTCGATTGACTTATTTCTGTGGAGAGGTGGCACCAGATATGAATCAAAATAGAGCCCCATACCCTTTAACGGATCATTTTACCTAACGCTTGAGAATGTCTAAAAGCTTTCAAGATGGGAGAAAGCGTTGAAGCAATTAGAATACCCAGATAACTCGTACATTAGCTAAATCTTGATTAGGCGCACTGAGAACATCTACGGAGCAAAAGGTAACAAAAGAAATAGAATATGGATAAGTCTGGAGGTTCATTGGTTCAAAAACAAAATCGTCATTTCTTAAGAGAATTTCTTCGCAAATTTTGGCAAGGACCTAGGTGGTAGTGTCGCATGAGTTAAAATCATGAGAACCAAAAGATGAGAAGACATTGACTAACAGAATCCAAATTAAAAATTTGCGTTGTGCTTTCTATAAGTAGAGGGTGTGGGAAAGAGAAGTAGGATGAATGAACCCTTAATGTCATAGACTCTTTGTAAAAGCGTATCAAGTGGAAAGACATTGACGATCCCACCATCACTGAAATGCGAACATTCCACAAGCTAATAAAATTGTTTGCCAACAAGATGAAGATTTCCAGAAGCACTTATAATGTTGGATAGAAACGAAATCATTGGAAAATATACATCCAGAAAAAATAAAAAAATATTATGCAATTAAATTAAATTGCAAACATACATGCAGTTATAGAATTCAGGTGTAATAAGGTTTTGGTTCTCTTCTTACCACGAAAAATGTTCAACGCTGATTGTTTTTTTATTACACATTTGCAAATAATAAACAATTATTTGCTTTCTTCATACTGGATAAAGTTTAGTCTGTGACGTTCGTAGCATAAGTGCATTAATTAAGGCTTAAATTCATTCTATTAAACTCCGTGATGGCCCTTCTTTTTTAGGGGTTGTCTACTAACTTCTCCTTTCCAAATCCACTTTTGGTTTCCAGAAAACGCTAAGTGGAACAAATTAAGAGGCATGATTTATTTATATTCTGCCAAACAGTGTCTCTCCAACTTACAATAGCTCAACAACCATTTGTGGAAGCAGATATTAATATTAATACTTGATCCATCTCGTTGCTCCAAATTTATGAACAAAAAGAGATTAATTAAAGTGCGAATTTGTGAATTCACTAAAAGAGTAAATCGATTAGAAGTACCATAACTATTCTCTTATGATAAGTGTAATTACAGTGCTTGGTCAGAAAAGATTTAAATAGGAGAAAGTGAGTCAGATTTCAAGAGCCACAATTTGAGCGAAACTTGGCATTTTCACAAAAAAGGTCGACTGAAATGAGAAGTTACATTTAGGCGTAATTAATAATATAACGCAAAGGAATAAGACAAATACACTGTGCCATCTTAGTCAAGTCCAACATTTCAGAAACCAAAATTTTTGCTCACCGATAAACAAGTTACTTGCACTTTTAAACGCTGCCTATTTCAACACAAATTAAGCGAATGCCCTCAATTTTGACGTGATGTCAATATTGTAATTATTTACATGATCATCAAATTCTAGATTTAATTTTAAAACTCGAAACGTTCATGAAATTGCGCATAATAATTCTCTTGATTTCTTGTGGGTGGGTTACATTCGTTTGGAAAATGATATTTGTGGGTTAAGCTTTATCAACTTTGCAGAAATTGAACTTTGAGTATTAAACTAATAAGACAACTAAATGAAAATAAGGTTTTCATTCCTTAAGTAAAATGTGATAGTACAAAATGTCCAAAATTTGATGATTTAAAGAACATAAATTTAATTAGTTCATTCAAGTGAGTAAGTTTTTAACTGCGGAACCGTGTTAAAATTAAGTCAGAGGAACTTCTGGCTTAAAACTTTTGAATGAAATGAATTTCAATAAATGAATGCATGTAATGTAATACAAATTATTAATAGTGCAAAATATGACATCTATGAGCGCAATCATTATACAAAATTAGCCATAAATAATTTAATTTTAAGTATTTTAAAATTAAATAATTTTGTTGACAAGTCTTGAAAGTAAATAATAATATTTGGAAGGTGTTTAAATTGCCGCCACTTTCATTTGTTTGGATCCGACAGTTGATGTGAGTTTTCGTCTGTTGTGTATTATTTTTAGATGACTTCTGTTATAATACGTCTTCAAAATCTTCCAATATCGGCGAATGCGTCGAATATTCGCAGGTTCTTCTCTGGACTTAGCATTCCCGAAGGTGGTGTTCATATTGTGGGTGGTGAAAAGGGTGATGCCTTTATTGCGTTTGCTACCGATGAAGATGCTAGGCGAGCTATGCTTCTGGATCAGCAATCAATAAACGGCACCAAGATTAGACTTTTTCTGAGTAGTAAAACAGAAATGCAAACAGTTATTGAAATGGCTCGGAGTTCCGTTATGAAAGCCAATCATCAAATGGGCCACTTACCAAAGCCTTCTAGTCAGTACAACAATTCCCATACTATTTCTGCTGCACCACAATCTTATCCACTGTCTTCAAATGCTGATAAAAGTCCTTATAGCTCTACAATATCCAAAGGGTCTTATTCTCTCTCTTCTTTACCTACGGATGTGCCTCCTTATGGCTACGGCTATGGAAGTTCCTGGAGTAATGAAAGGAACGATGGTCAAGACGGTTACAGTAGCTATGGGATAGATAACCGATCGGAAACCGGTCGTCGAGATAATTCTGCTGCATCCCTTGCCTCAAGCAAATACGATGATCCATCTACTGATCGTCATTACAATCTGTCACCATCTTATCCTCCTGAAGATGGTTACTATGGTGATGGCAATGGTTATGATCATTCAAAGGCTAATGAGCCATCTTCACAACCACCTGGTTATCCTAATGATCGAGGGTTTACCGATGTTGGGCGTGATTTTTCGGTGAGACCACCATGGCTTGCTGATGGTAACCGTAATCAATTTTCTAAAAGATCGGTTCCTCCTGATTCAGCTCTCAGAGAACCTGTTCCCTTTAAACGCAATCGTTCGGAGGAATTTTGCTATCCTTCTAATAGAGAAGTACCTTGTCTAGATTTTGTAGTGAAGATTTCTATGCGTCCAGCGGATGTTTCTGTAAAAGGTACATTTGATATTCTTCGAGGAGTAAATATAATCCCCAAATTTGGTATTCGAGTTGAGGAGGATGAAATTGGCCGTTACACGGGTAACGTTTACTGTCTTTTGACCTGTCCCGAATCCCATGCTCGAGCCTTATCCTATCACAAAAAGGTGGTCAATGGTTATCCGATTGAGGTGTACAACTCAAATGCCGAGGATTTCTTTAAGGTTACTGATAGTAACTTTGCTAGCCGATGCCCGCACTTCATTCAGAGTCGTATTCCCAATAAGGGTACTTATAAACCTCTTTACTATGCAGACGCTTGCATTGAGATGTCTGAAATTCCCTCTAATGTTACCGAGGAAGATATTGTCGCATTTTTGGGTGTTCCTGGTCTTTCTGCGAGTGATGTTAAGATTTCACAGTCTGGGGTTCCTTTGTCGATTGTTGCTCTAATTCATCTTCCGTCTGTTGAAGTTCTCAACATTCTTCTTGATGCGCCTTCGCGTCGCTTCAGTGCAAATCAATCACGGGATTTGAGATTGGTTGCTATTTCTGCTCTTCAATTTAAATATGCTCCTCCAAGGCAACCTCTTTACGCGTATAAGCCGGAATCCGGTAATAGTGGATCTAAAATCTCTACTTCGCAAAAGCCTGAATCGAAAACCTGCTGTTTCATTTATGGTTTCTCACGAAGCATAACCATATTTGATTTGACGCAAATATTTCCAAATGTTTTTATCCCTGGTGATGCCATTCATTTGCTTCCAAATGGTCGTTCGGCCGTTATTGATTTTCTTAGCGAGGAGAGTTGTCGTAATGCTCTTCGAGATTTTCAGGTAGCTGAGGGGGATCTTAAGAAGACCCATCGTCTGCTTTCAATGCGGGCGATTACTAAGTTAGAATACGATCAGAAAATTGAGGAGAGTCAAGAGGAGCCATCTAAGCAGATTGTCCCCGATGGTAGAAGTGGTGATTCTAGTTTTCGTCCGCCTCGCTTCCGTCCCCCTTTCTCTCAGCCTCATAGACTGCCACCATTTGGTCCAAGGGGCGTGGGTTCACGTCCACCTTATCCTCCCCCACCAAGGGCTCGATTTAACAGACCCCCTGGTGGTCCTTCCCATGTAACGAATCTCTTCTTAAAAAATCTTCCTCCGAACTGTCCCCCAGGAGCGTTACTGGATATTTTTCATCGTTTCCGTCCTCTCCCGGGTTCCTTGCGTTTTAGACGAGATCCAAGAGGCGCGCCTACTGGCGAGGCTGTTATTTCTTTTGGCACTTTTGCGGATGCCGAGCAGGCTGCCAGAGAGACTGATTCAACTCGACTGTTTAGCAAGACCATTTCTGTGCATATTCAACCACAATAGGGAGGCAAGATGTCGGGGTTCTGCTGCCTACGAAGTTTATTTTTGTAGGTTTTATTCGTTCTATCTGCTTTTTGGTAAGATGTTATGTTTGTTTGTTTTTATGACTTGTTTAGGATGCTTTATTTTAATATTTTTATAAGTAGTTTTTTATTAACCTATATGCATGCCTGTGTTTGCCTGATGTGTTTTCTCCTTTCACTAAAGACATGAACTTGAATTCTTGTCTTTGCATTTAAGTAATGTTTTATTTTGGTTTATTAAAGACAGATTTTTGGTTAACATGGTTTTGTCCTGTGAACTGTATTACAAGGGGGTTCCGGTCTTTTTAGTTCCAATTTTAATGCATAAGGATTTTCTTTGAAATGCTAATTGTTTGAAAAATGTATATAATTTTGTGAACTTTCAGGCATTCGAGTTATGCGTAGATGTTTGATATGCAAGCAGCTTAAGGATTTTATTTCTGTTCACTAGCTTCTAAATTGGTGTGTTAGGTCGTCAATTGGTTTTACTTTTACTCTTCTGATTGATTAGAGCAAATCAACAGTATTTGCCCTTTTTAATCGAGGTTAAGCACGTTGAATCCATCTCGTGGTCCCCGTTAATAAGACGCCAGTGATGTAGTGGCCCTCCCCCCAACCCCCCACCCCCACACTCCTTCATGTGATGACCAGAACCTGTTAATCAATGGGTTTAACCTAGTGTTTGTCATACTTAGCTTGAAGTATTTGCCTTTGGACATTGAAGTTGCAGCTGTTTGCTAATGACTGTGATTTTACACTCGAATGAGTGTCTCATTTACTAATTCCTAATTTTCGAAATTTGGATATTGTAGTAATTGGCGTTATTGGATAGCGGTTGCAGATTACAAGTTGGTGAACTTCTCGATATCACTATTTTATGAGGTTTGTAACCGATGAAGTAGTGAAGCAAGCGGCAAAAAATTTCATACTAAGAGTGGAATTCATTGGTCATTTTGATGGTATTCTAGGCCATTCATCCGGAATCTGTTGATAAGATTCCGTTCATTTTAAAAAAATTAAGGTGTATATAGTCTTGTCATAATAAGAGCTATTGGTTGTAAGTTGTAATATGGATGCATCTTAAATTAATTGGGGTATTTTTGAACCTTGGGGTTATATTGAACTGTACCTATTTGCACGGAGCAAGAAAAAAATGAGAGCACTTGCCAGCGGATTAATTGGTAAATTGTATTAAGCTAATGTTATGAGCCGATCAATGAGGAAAACTAAAGGTATTTTGACCAGGTGTCCGTGTGTTGATTTCGATTTAATTTTCTTTTAAATTCGTTAAATAGGCCTATAATTAGGATCTCTTCAAGCGTGAGCTCAGGATCACCATTTAGCTCAATGGTTTCGTCGTATTGGACCTTTAATTCGCATAATGTATTTTAATTCACCATCTCAAGAATGTCGGTCATTGATAACTGGCCGTCATGTGATCTATTAGCTGCCGTTAAGATTTGAAAGCAATACTAGTTGAAAGTGCAGCAGTTGTCATCTGCTTCTATTTTAAAGAAATCGGTCTTTAGACTCTACTTGCACTATATACTATGGCAATATATTTGGTAGCTTTCGGCATAATCAGGCGCTTTTTAATCACTCGTAAATTTAGTTTTTAAGCTCTGCCGCATTTATAGAATCAGTATGCGTTCTATTAATTGTACTAACGGATGCATAACTGAACTCCTTTTAAAGTCGACGAAATAAAGAGAACGTTCTGACTGATTGTTCCGGTTCATATTAAAGATGGATTTTTAAATGATACACAGTAATCGACGTATTTGGGAGCCTTGGCGATGACAGCCAAAATGCTAAATATTTGGTCTGACCGACTAAGTTGCTTCAGCGAATCTGAATCTTAAGCAATGGTTTGTTATGATTCGATATTTTGTTGATTGTGAAACGAAATCGCTAATATAAAATAAACTAACGTATTCACTTTCCATTTTATAATATTGCTATCGAACATATGTTAGTATAGTGAAAGTACGTGCTATCGCATTAGGCTGTTAGCATGGAATGAAGATTTGTTCTTATCGCCACGAGTCTATACTTGGCAATTTAAGTGCTTACAAACGAATGATATGAAGAGTCAACTAAAATGCAATGCTCTTTAGAAGGGCATATATGTTAGCGACAAATTAATTAATAATAATAATTTGAAAATGTCCTTTAGTTTCAAGACTTACTTGTGTGTTTGTGTGTGCGACCACCAAGAATAACAGTGTAAAACCGCTTCTTCATAGTAACGTCGGTTAAACTTGTCATAATGGCATCTATACACATGACTTAACATCTACATTTATTAACTGTCCTCATTTGTTGTAACTAATTGCGTACTATTAGCAATTCTGTCAATAGGAAGCACTTTCAATTACATTATGCTAGCACTTCTAAAGCTAAATATTAGTTTTACAATATTCCAAAATATTTGTGGAATGGGTATGCTGTTCTTGAAATTATGGCACCTGATCGTGAATATACAAATATAAAATCTTAGAAAGTATCTCAGTTTGTTAGTGTGCTTTAGTAAGTGCTGTTATAGTTTTCAGTACGTGGAGTATATTGAATAATGATTGAAAGTGCTGCTGTTTGCGGGGTAGCCTATGTGTACTTTCATCAGGTTAGAAATCACGAGGTTAATGCTAGTCAGCCCTAACAAAGTCATTTGGGTGGCCAACGACAGTGATTGATGCTGATCAACACGAGGAGTGGTCGAATGGTTACTCCAACTCAAAATAACCTAAGATATCAACCATCTTCTCACGGCATGTGTTATTTATATTACCGCATTTAACCTTTATTTAAAATTTTTTCCTTGTCCCTAGACCTGGGCCAAACACTATATTACACTGCTAATAATTAGACTCGTCATTCATGGGATTTCTGCGTGGAATATTGGCACTTAGGAATTACCATCTTTAAATGACTTTCAGTTCATGTATAATCGGCCCTATTGTAGCCTATATGAATCTCAACTTGATCTCTAGGTCTGTCTAAACTGGTCAGTGATATTCATTTAAAGTAGGGCATTATTACGATATCACTATAGCTGATTTGTTGATATTTGTAATTCTTCCATTTTGACTTTAAGCAGTTTATGTTATGATTGAATTTTATTTAGATTTCAACAATTTGCTCTTTTCTCAGTTCAAATAGTTTGTTTTTCGTTTACAAAGCGGGACTGTTTTGTTCACATCCCTCAGTTAAATTATGAAATTTTTAAAATTAAAAGGTTTATAACTTATTAACTAATGCTGATAAAGTTTTACGTAGGTTGTGAAGTTATCTATTTTAATTTTACGAACAGTTTTTTATTGAGTGCCATCAATGTTATAGGGTAATTTGTGGTAGAATGCGAAACCACCAGGTGTTTTTATTTAAATATGAATCTGCCTAAAGCCCTCGACAATGAACCATTTTAACATGGGTTACCTCATTCTATGTTTTACATCTATGTTTATAAGAGAATCGAAGTTAGTTAAATGTACATCAAATGAATTTATGTACAAAAAGTGGAATATACAAACACTGGTTCGATTCTCTTAGGTATATTGAAAATGACCCCATAAAGTGCGCTTTCTGCATTAAGAACAAAACTGACCTCTATAATTTCGTCTACTTAAACTATTTAAGTAACATCGCCTTATTGAACAAATGTGGTTACATCCGAAAACTTAGGGCATTTCCTCAACTAGAAATCTGATTATGATAGATTGCCATTTATTTGATATGAATACCGGCAGGTATATGTTATTGTGATGTGATGATGAAATGGTGGATATGTAAATTTTAGTATTGGATTGTCAATATAATTGCCTGACGTAAGAAAATGTGGTAGTATTGCATTTGGTTGATAAACTAATTGCTCGTCATTTCCGTCTTGGGCTTACTGGTCGGGCTTGTGGAAAGCAAAATGGTGGATGTAATTTTAACGATGGAGCCATGACTATTCCTATGGAACCCTCACTCATGCATCGCTTTGAAAAATAGTAGTTAAGCGGTGCCGTAATTCAAAACAATATTAAAAAGCGAAATGATTGCATGAGCTTAAATATTACTAATTAAATTGTCAATAGTACTAATTTCTGTTGGTTTGGTGCTCCAAATTTTTAAAATGTATAAGGAATTAAGGTGCTTTGCTCAGTATGATTAGTTAGATGCGTTATTTTTGATATTTATATGGCAAGAAATTAGACTTGATTAGCCTTTTTATCAACTGCTTATTAGCTGCTATGTAAGCGCTAGGTATCGCAGTTGGTGTTCTGGTAAAAGAACTTAAAAATAAGTCCAGCAGTAATGTTGGTGCGATTGGTTAGATGTCTCGGGCATTGAACTATGTCATCTATTATTATAATTCGGTTATTTTGTCTAAGTTAATTGGCTCTCGCAATGAATGTAAACGGTAAGTCTAATATCCGTACAATGTTGCAATAGTGGGTTGTTTCGTCTGGTGGATTGTTGGATTTTCTATAATGGCGCTTATTTTGCTGGTTAATTTTATGGGAAATCGGCCTATACAAATGAATATTTTGATTAGGCACGCCTTTTAAGCCATATGTGGAAATGCTTAGGTTATATGCTTTGTGTTAATGAAAATTGATATAATTTTTGCTGGTGGACTTAGCACGGAAGAGTGCCGCTATTTGTTAAACTCATTTGCATCTTGAAAAGCATTTTCACAAGGTTTTTAGCTGGTAATTTGTGCCAAAGTCAGTAGCTCTGTCCGTGATATGTAATACCTTAAGTTTGGACAATAATGGGTATTTGCTTTGGTTGGATTGCATTTAATCACCTATTTCAAGTTGGCTGGTGTTAAGGTATTTCATTTTTTACTGGGTTGACCTTCATCATCTGATGTATTAAGGAATTTTGCGTTGTAATATATATAGCGTCTCTTCAATACAATCAGTGATAGTGGTCTTATTGGCATTATCGTAGCGACTATGTTTTATTGTACGTTGACGTTTCCCCATGCTA